GGTTTCACTTTCTCCTTATTCGTCCATTTAGCATTTATTTTTTAATTACAATATTTATTTTTAATTAAACCAAATATCTAACACATTTAATCATATACTTTAGTTCATACTTGAAATCCACATTTTACTACTAAAATGTAACTGAAAATTATATAAATTTTCAAAGACTATTGATTTTCTTTATTGAATTTCCATTAAACACACTATAAATTATATTTATGACTCCTATAATTTATGAGAATTTTAGAGAAATACCCCTTTTGGTGTACCCCTTTTTAAAAATACCTCTCTTTTCTATCCATTTTCAAAAATACCTCTTTTCAAATATGAAAAATTATAAACTTTTATATGGTTGATAAGGTACATCAAGATCATCGTTACTATTGGGAGACTAAATCCAAATATTTAGAAGGTTTTAAAAGGTTCTAAACGGCATTTATATGGTTTTTATAAGGTTTTTAAAAGGTTTACAAAGTTTTTATAAGATTTTTTTATGATTTTTAAAAGGTATTTATACGGTACTTATGAAATATATATATAAATTTACACACATGTAAAGATAATTTGTGTCTATAAATATAAGTTTATATTTTTTTGATAAATTTCAAATTTTATAGTGACTTTTTGATAAAATTAGAAAGAGGGGTATTTTTAAAAAGTGGTATTGGAAAATGGGTATTTTTGAAATTCCCCCTTTAATTATTTTAAAAATGTAACTTATATCATTTCTTATCCTATAAATAGTCATTCTTACATCTTCCTCCACCATATCTGATACCCTCAATATTTTATTTGTTTTATTTTTTAATGTTCTTGCATGGGATGAAAACTCAATTAAGATGTCATTGTAAGAGTTTGATTAAATATTTGGTTTAAATTTTTGTTTTCAATTTTTTATGTATTTCTTCATTCTTCATTGTTTTAATATTTTTAAATGTAATACATATATATAATAATATTTTATGGTTATAAGAAATTATTTTATTGATGAGATTCAAAAATATTAATTTCCGACTATCGCACCATAAGACAATCAAGCTAAAGAAGCCAACTTCATTCTTTTACTTTGTATGTTTGTTTCTTTCTCACATATTCATGTATATTTAATTTATTTTCAAAAGTATGTAATTTTTTAACAAAATAAACTTTTTGTTATATAATTATCAAACCAATGAAAATTATTAAATAAATATATAACAACCCGCGCATATGCGCGGGACATTACCTAGTAAGTGATAAGTGATGGATTTGGACCATTTGGTTAGATTAAAGCTGTGGAAAGGGGAATGTTGAATAGTATAGGCTTAGCCTTTGTCTACAGAAAGTTTGACTTGTGGCAGAGCTACCTATATTATTATTTTTGTTTCCTTTTAGTGGTTTGAAAAAGATTAGACTATATTAAAAGTTGATGAAATAAACTAGTTAAAGGGGTCAAAATGGAGTAGAAAAAAATTGATATAAGTTGAAATTGGCAGAATATTAATGGTGATTTTTGGCAAATTTCAAAGTGAGCTAAATATCAGAATAATTTATTTAGTTGATTTTCATGGAAATTTATTTGGTCAGATAATAATAGTGATATGAAGTTATATAACTTTGTAGTGAAAATTATATGATTTTTGACATTATTTTAGTAAACAACTTGAGAAATGTACCAACTAAACGACAGAAACTATCAAAATTAATTAATTTAATATTTATTTGTTACCATATATGTACAAGTCCAGAGTTTGTGTAATGAATACTGAAATTATACAAAGTAAAAATTTAGTAGCTATATCTATACTAACATTTTTGAAGTACTTTTTGGGTTACCTTTTATTTTGTAATAATTGCATAATTAAACCATTGGAAATTGAACAAATAACAATTTTTAACGTAAATTATGAAATTAAATCATAATAAAATTGCAAAACTATAAATCATTATTTATTATATTTAAGAA